ATTTTCTCCAGGCCAGTTTGGCTGGAGATCCTGAAGGCTTTTTTGTCATCTTCTGGGCATGGAACAAGGGCCGCGGTGGCTCAGAGGTTAAGACGCTGAGCTGCAGACTGGAAGGTCTGTAGTTTGGCAGTTCGAGACCCGAGTGCCGCGTGACAGAGTGAGCTCCCGTCTCTGGTCCCAACTCCTGCCAACCTAGCAGTTTGAAAGCAATAAACTGCAAGTGGATAAATAGGTACTGCTTCGGTGGGAAGGTAACAGCATTCCATGCGCCTCAGCGTTTAGTCATGCTGGCCACGTGACCACGGAGAAGTCTCTGGACAGCGCTGGCTCTGCGGCTTGGAGATGAGCACCGCCCCCTAGAACCGGATTCGACTGGCTTTCGAGCAAGGGAAACCTTGACCTGGGCATGGAACAGCGGTCACTGGGTGTGTGTGGAGGGGAGGTATTTGTGATTTTCCTGCATTGTGCAGGGGGTTGGACTAGATGACCCTGGAGAGTCCAAATGCAAGGAGCTTACGACCTAAAATTTGGCATATGGGAGGCAGAAGGAAGGGAGATGGAGAGGAATAAATAGGGGGAGAGAGATGTGTTCATTCCGGTTCCACATATCCAGGCTTAGTTTTACAATGAAAAGCAGACATCTGATCATTTCTATAAACATTAAAAATTTGCTTATCTGTTACTACTTCATTTGAATTTATATTCCATCGCCAGAATAGCTCGAACAAATCTGAAATGCTGAACTTGATTATTAACACATTTTAATTAAAACTGGTAGTTGACATATGCCTACTCTCTCTGAACCCAAGAGAAACTACACAGAGCTTATGACTGTTATCAAGTCAGCAGGATTCTTGAACACCCACCCAGGGGAAGAATTCAGACTACTAACTGCAAGGAACGGGTACTGCTAAGCCACTACCAAGTCTGAATAGCAAGAGTGTCTTTTAGTTATCCGAGTGCAGTTAATTTTCCCACGGACTACTTAATGGCATACACCTCCGATTAATTACAAAGTAGAACTTTTACTGAAATCTATCATGTACTTATACTCTAAAAATGGTCCCTAGCCACTTGGCCTTTTACAGTGAAGTAACTATTTCACTAGACGTCTTTCAGCTCAGCTTCCTCACTATAAATCTGTCCAAAGGTACACAGAACAGCTTATTATCTCTGCAGCGTGAACATATTCAGCAATTTGATTTCCATTTTCACTTATTAATGCAATCGTTTCTGCTTTGAGATCTTGTTGCGAATGCTCCCCCCCCCCTAAACCCCTTGAAGCCAGCATTAGCTCTCTCTTTGGCTGCTCCCCAGAATGTCCAATTGATTTATCTTGCTGCTTAAAGAGAAATACATTAATGGTAGCTTATAAGCAGCCTCTGGATCCAGTATTCTGTGGATGACTTCTCCCATAATTTATTTTATTCGATTTACACCCCGCCCTCCCCACCGAAGCAGGCTCAGGGGCAGCTAAATCCTCGTTCTAAATCCTCTGTTCATCCACATGGAAGAAAGAAACTGATCCAGGACAACACTGACAAGGCCTCGCCCCCTACTTCCTGTTAACAAGCGTAGGTTTTAAAAATCAGCATGACCTTAATGCCGCTTCCTCCCCACAGTTCTACCCACGGGACTGGTCAGAGAATCTATCCGGTCCCAGCACACTCTGCTCTTTCACCTATTCTCCAACATAATGCTAGACTACTAGACTAAAGAGACCGTTTAACGAGCTGGTTGTAGGGCAGTCGGATCACCAAGAAAACGATCTGCAAGCATCCAGGAGTGTCAAACATACAGCCCGGGGCTAGAACTGGCCTATCCGAGGCTCTTACCTGGCCTGCAAGCAACTGGTGCAAGGGAGGGAAGGCAGGAGGCGGAGGAGGGCCAGTATGTGGATTGGGAGGCAACTGGGCTGCCTTGTGTGCTGCTCAGAAGGCAAAGACGTTGTGGTCTCAGAAGTGGGGGAGTGAAGGGGAAAGGGGGCACCACTGCATGTCTGAACAGCTGCGGAGCCAGAGTGAGTGTCAGGGCAGGTGGGGGAGTGCGACCTCCCTTCTCCCCCCACCACCTCTTCTCAGCCCATGAGGGAAAAGGGCTCCTGGGAGGACCCAAAAAAAAAAAAAAAAGGCATCCGGGAGGTTTCAGAAAGAGCCTGCCCATCAGGCCTTCCCCTCTGCCCTCTTGCTTCTGTGGGAAATGCAGGAGGGATAAGGACTGGGGTGTGTGTGTGTGTCTGAGAGTGCCAGGTTCAGACCCCCTCTCCTCCTAAGCCGGGACCCTGCTGTCTGGGTCACCTGGGGCCAGTCCCTCAGCCTGGCCCACCTCACAGGGTTGTTGTTGGTGGGGAGAATCCAGTGTGCCTCCGCAAGATCCTCAGAAGTAGGATGGGGGAAGAGAGGAAACAAAATTCGAGAGACGGATCATGGCCATGCTCAGTGGCTGAGACTGGGTGTATGGGTGTGTGTGTGCTGAAAAACTACCTTATTTACTTGCATGGAAGATGATCCATCTCCTAAAAGTGATATATATACCAAAAGTAACTAATTTGTACAGAAATGTCAGAAACCCTCCCCTTTATAGTATCCCTTGGAAAAAACCTAATCTTGCATATGATTAAATACATTTATTGGGGCTTTTGGGGGTTCCCTAGTAAATCCATTGTTCTCACTCCTAGGAATCAATTACTTTTTGTTTGTATTTTGACAAAAAATACTGTTAATTGGGGTTGCTTGTGTCCTTTTATAAAGTTTATATCTCCGGTACCTGGTATGACATTTTATGGCACACATGGCATGGCCTGACAAAGTGACGTCTGGTCCTCACAACAAATGATACCTCCACATTACAGCACTGACATTAACACCAAAAATAACTCCAACTTTGAATTCTCCTAACCTCTTACATCTACATGCAACACTTTGGTCCACAATGAGAGTCTAGGTACTAGCACAAACTGTTTTCTGCTGTACCAGTGGTGGGTGTTTTTTTTTT